AATGATATGGTTTCCCTAGAATCATTAGATCAACACAAAATTCTAATATTTGATAGAGCCCACAGTCAATATCAAGGTCATAGTAAATTAAATCACTAAATTAAATCAATAAATTATGTCTCAATAATACTGCTCAACTATTTATATGCATATGTTGTACGGACCGAAATCGAGCCTTATTGGGCCAATCGACACATTTCTCGTTCCCCAAATTGAATATTAAATGATTTGTAAATTTTGATCATCTGTGCTTTCCATTCTAAGAATATATTAGAACGAGTGAAAATGAAGCTAAGCTCAAACAGTCCATGTTATTCAAATGCCCTAAGCTTGTAATTACTTTCACTCTCAATTTTGAGTTTCCATCAATCGGAATATAAAGATGCAATAGACGATTAGAATATAAACTGGTGGTCCTGTGGTTTAGTTTACAGTATTCTATTTAAGATTCTTTTTGACTCTAATGAGGTTAGCAAATAGGATTTGATTTATGGATACTCTCGTTATTTTTTCAGGGTAAGTTATTGGTGTGGGAATTATATTATAACTCGAGTCAATTTTTGAGGGTAAGTTATTGGTGTGGGAATTATATTATAACTCGAGTCAATTTTTGAGAGCGTCAGCGATTTCTTGCCGCCTAAGCCTCACTAGTGGGCTTCTCTTATGAGTTCGAGCGGCTATTTATGGTTATGCCCAAACGGGGGTTTCACCTTGCTTGCCCTCAAACTTTTTTTCACTTTCAAAAAAAAAAAAGGCCTTTCTCCATGGAAGAGAGGTTCTGTTATGTGCCCTAGGAAATGCAAATTTGGAAAATAAGTCCTTGAGTTGAGAAACAGTTAGAAAACCTTGTTGTGGCTGTGACCTTGGGCAAACTTACTCATTTCAAATCGGAGACCCAACTTTCATGAAAACATGGTGAATTATATTACGTGTAGTTGGATAAAAATGTTTTATATTTCCTACTTCTATCTCAAAACAAGTTATTAATGATTTGCTAAACTCATAAGATCGAGGTTTCATTTTCCATAGTATGGAGGTTAATTACGGCGGGGGCGAGAGAGAGAAAAATAGAAAAGAAATATGAGGGTATTTGATGGTGAGTTTTAATTCTAAGAATAATTTTCACTGTAAATATTTTCTGACTAGGGTCTCATCCTAATTTCCGAAAGATCAGGCTATGGTTTGGATGAATGGTGGAGGTTATCATTAGAATTTATGCAAAAACTAACAAGCTGGACATGGTGGCTGTGGGGTTCGAACCCACGCGCACTTATGTGCAGAAGATCTTAAGTCTTCCCCCTTAACCACTCGGGCAAACCACCTTGCTATTCATCAATGCCTACCAATTTTCCTATTTTGAGGCTTTAAAAAGTGTCGTACCACAAACAGGTTTTTTATAATGTATAAGTTAAGTTATTATAGTTAAAAAATTTAAATTTAAGTAAATTATTGTGGTTAATAAATTAAAATTTAAATGAATTATCGTGGTTAAAAGATTAAATCATAATATAAATCGTAAAATTTAAATGATCTAGACTGTTGTTGTATGTTTCTAACTGAGGAGTTTAACATGAGACTCTATTTTATTATTATAGATAGAAATTGTGCGTGCTGGATCTTGCACAATATAAACACGAGAATATATCTCTCCCTTGGTGAACTCTAGTGAGTCAGTCGAATGGTCCACCCTACTGCTTAGAACAGCATGTGAGGTCCGGTGGTAGTCTGAAACGATAATGGGAGACCCTCGTGGACTAACGGAACGATCCGGTAAGGCTGAGGAAGGTTCCTGGAACAAAGAAAGACAAGTTAGAAGGGCGCCGGAGTGTTTTTCGGCGTATCCCTTCCGATGATCAAGTCAGTTTTTGAGAGAGAGGAAGAAGAAAACACTGAGTATAAGTTTGAGAAAAGGTTTTACCTCTTTTTCTCTTGCCTTTTGTGAGGAGTATTTATACCTCAAAAACTCATGATTGCTGTCAGTGTGGTCAGTAGGTGATCATTAGATACGGATAACGTACGCACTGATTCCTATGAGGAATGTCTTCTCTTTTAACTGCTCGGGATCCCGAGCAACCAAGGCTGTGTCATCGGCCTGCCGACTGTTTAATGAGCTCCTCTCGGTAAGGAGGTAACAAATGCCCAGTCTTAGGGACATTTATTACCTTTCACTTCTGAGCCTTACCGCATTAAACGTTGTCTCATCAAAGGAATGATGTAATTAAATGTTTGCTTTCTCAAGTCATGTGTCAGTAAAGACATCTGGTCTTTTTGTCTCTGATGTGACACAATATGTCACGCATCCATTCCCCATTGGCTGTGTCCCCTGTCTTCTTGTGCCTTCTGACACTAATTGTGTAAGACGAGGTCATGATTGCTAACTTAACCTAACTTAGGCTAGTTACATGTACATCAATAGCCTCTGCAGGAGCAGAGAACGCCATCCTGGACAGGTACATCTCGGTACCGAGGGGATTGGTACATGTAGAGACCGATGTACCCATATCCGACCGAGGGATATATGTCGGTACGTAACGTACTGGGTGTCATTGATCCCTATGAACAGTACCTCGGAGGAACAGAAACTTGTGATCCGACGGATACGTGTCGTGTTTATAAGAAAAGAATTTATTGATGCCGAGGACACGTGTCTTCATCTTTGAGTACTTAAAAAAAGTCCCATCAGAAATGAAACAAAAAATTAAACAAAAATAAGAAAAGTGAGAGAAAGTGATCGATCAGTTCAAAAGAAACAAACCCGACAAATATAAGCTAGTGTACATTTCGCGCACATGATATGACCACGAGTTTTTTACCAATAGATTCGGTGAGTTCAAACTCGGGAGTCGATGTCTCTAAAATAAGAGTTAGACTACTTACTTCTTATTTTTCTCACACTTTGTCCTATACCGAAGCCTTGTAAAATGGAGAGTGGTTTAAAGATGCAAACCTTTGTGTCGTAACAGTAGGTTCCTACAAACTTGCTGACATCAAGACTATTAGCCCAACAAATGAGTATATCTATATGCACCTTTGACCCGAGCTCCCAAAACAGGTAGTCAGATGCTCATAGGCCCATAATTTTGCCAAGCACCACATGTCATTGCATCATTTTTTATGATCCACAAAAATAGATTTATGCACAATTAACAGTCGAGTATATAATGTAAGATAATTAATAAAATAATAAATAATAAAAGACAAAAATTTGGTGATTTAGTTTGAAAACTTAACTATTGAAAACGACAATGGTGGCCGAAGAATTTTATTAATGGGAGAGTACAAGGTAATAGGAGAAAAAGAGCACGCGCAAAAGTACGTTCAAGATGAGGGGTGTGAGATCTCTATGTGAAAAATAATTGAAGATTTATAATTTATAGGCATAGAATCCTACTTGAGGCGGTAATGTGATAGTCAATGTACTTATTTATTGGGGAGGATAGATACTATTTTTGAGTAATGACTATCCCAATATTTACGTTCCATTAGCTAAGCTTGACTTGCCTTTTAATGATTTGGGCTCAACCCATGAACTGAGCTCAGGTCTAATCTAAATCTGGGCTCGTCAATCCCCCTACCATTTATTTAATGGTAGATTACCCCTTGTCTATAAAGTGTAAATCAAACCCATAGTTAAATTGAAATTGAGATATGGATTATTACGAATGAGGTGTGATATGGAAGAAACGATAAGTTACCGGGCCATTTTATTGGGAATAACAAGAGCATCGGAGCCATATTTAATAAGTGAAAGTGTGTGTTTTTGTCAAGTTCCATGCCATGGCAGGCTTCATACAATAGAATTTATACTGTAATGGTAGCCAAATGATAAGATTCTGAGTTTTATAAAGAGTAATGTTATACTTACCAATTTTTTTTTATCTCAAGTGACGTGATACAATCTCCATCGTTAAATATTTATGAAAACTATTTATTTGATGGTAAAAACAAGACGACAGCGTAGCATAGCATTGTTGTTTTTGTAAAATTTGTTTGGTTACAGCCCCAACAAGGGAACCCATACTGTTTGGTTTATTTTGCTTTGTTTTATGTCCTCTTTTTATTTTTGGTAATGCACACATTAAGAAGAAATCAAAGTTATTACAGATCCAAAACATGAGTTAAATTGATAAAAGTTATGACAACACATGCTTAGAGAGCTTGCTCACTTGCCATGTTAAGGTTTCAACTCTCGCTCACTGAGGACTGATACCCGATCATGTCGCTTTTGAGTTCTTGTTGAATAACTCATGCCAACTTAATTATAATCACATTGAGTTCTCTTCATGCCTGCCTTGTAAAAACAACGTTTAAACGTTACTTCATTATGATAAAATTAACCAAAAAGAAAGCTGTGGTTCTTTCATTCGACTTATTTAATACATAAAAACTTCCCTTCTTGTAATACAAAAGGGAATCAGAAAAATGGTAAACAGTGAAGATATGAAAATGTAGGGATAGGTGGCTTATATTCATGGAAAATTACATCACGTCCAAGGAGATAATGGACCGGTTATAGCATGTATTTTGGGGATATCCTAATTAGGGTTTTAACATATATAAGTTAAGTTGTAACCTTAATTTAGTGTGAAATAAAAACAAGATAACGGTTTTAAGATCGTGAACATGCAGGCAAATTATTGAACCATGTAAAATTTTGTATTTTTTTTATTTTATTGATCGTTTATCACACACACTTATCAAAACAAAAAACAACTATATTTCCACACGACAACGTTAAAACATTTACAATTGGGAATTCTGACATATGCCAAAAAAAATACTAAAAATATCTAAGCCTTGTATATCACCCAACAATTTAACTAATTTAATTTACAACTACTTCAGACCTGATTTTTTTTTTTTTTTTTCGAAAAGCTCTCACCTGATAAGCTGGGCCAAAATACAAAATGCAAGATGTCCGGGTACTTAAACATAAGGTAACCTAGTAGAAATAGGAATGAACAGTAAATCTAAGATAAGCAAATTGTAAACCCGATACTCTAATTCCGAGGTAAGAAATCCATGAATTTGAGCCAAGGTAGCCCAATCTTGGTCGCCTTTTCAGCTTGCTTTGAACAGGATGTTGACGGCATCGCCGCGTCACCGCCACCTCCAGTTTCGGTTGCTGACTTTTTAGGGCACAAGAAGAAGTTTCTTGACCCCAACGCCATCAGCTTCTCCTCCCGATCCAAACCTGCACCATAATACAATAATTAACGACACAATTAAACACAAGACTATCGATTATCGGTCCTAATTGGGGGAGAGAGAGAGCTTACTTTCTAAGCTAAACTGCGAGTAATGAAGATCAAACCCTTCTGGGTCACTTGACGCCAAAACCGGCCGTCGGTCTTCCTTCACATACTGTCGTACAGCTGCCGCTATCAGATCACCCACCATCGATTCCGGCGACATAATCACCTGCACAGCCCCAAGACTCCTTTGAATTGTCACATTCAACAACAACTTGGTAAGCTTCGGCGTCCCCTGGGCTGACCCAACTCCGGTAGTCGTCCGACCACCTTTCAAATCCGGCACCGTCCTGGGCCTAGGAAGCATATCTCCCATACCCCCACCAGTCCTTCCGTGAAATGACGACGCTTTTTCAGCCAACCTCCCCTTCCTATTCTTCTCTTCGTGTCCTCGCCTATGACTCTTCGTGTTCGGCATCTTCAATATACGTACGACTGCTTTTATATCTACCTACCTATTCAAGGGTAAATCGGGAATTCGATTAATTGTTGAGTCGGCTACCTCAGACGTCGATAACGGAAGAATCTCAGGCGAGGAAAGCCGAGAGCTGGAGACGAGCGGAGGCTCTCGGTTTGTTGGGATCCGGCGGGGGGTATCATAACCCGAATGGCGAACCTGTAATTATGTGAGACACTTAGGGGCAAAGCATTTAGAGTGTGAGGTGAATCGAGTAGTGAATATCTGTAATGCATTGTACCTATTTATATATGGAGGAGGAAGGGTTGGAGATGAAGATAAGGAGACGCATCTGAGAAACCTCCCATGGAGTTTCCATTATTGGGTGACTGGCTGAACCGGTTGTAGACATAAAAAATTCTACAAGTTAGGAACCCTTGTTGCTACGTATATATTATTAAATACGTGCAATGATATAGAATTAATTTGTTGATTTAATTAATTATAATTTGTTGACTTAATTCACTATAATTTATAAATTAATTATAATTTTATTAAATATTAAAATTTAGTGTTAATTTAATAATTTTACAAAAATTATATTATTAAGTTAACAAATTAAATCAAATTTTTAACTTCAAATAATATTACTCATTAAAATATCCTACGGTAATGGTGATATTATATTATCATTATTACTATAGTATCTAGAGCTAGTAATTGAGCTGACCTATTCCGATTTTGTTTAGATAAAACTGACTCAAGATCTAACTCGTTTTGAGATCGGTTCGAATTTGGTTTATTTTTTAAACGAGTTGAGATTAAACAATTTTTTATACTCGTTTAAAAAAACGAGCTCGATAAACTTGGCTCGATTATCCGCTCTAATAGTATTATCTGTTATTATATAAAGTGGTTGGTAGTTATTATAGTATTGGAGCCATTAAGAGAAAAAAAATATTTATTACAACGGTAATATTACGTGACAATGTAATATAGTATCACCTATTAATAATATTAAAACAAATAAGCAAATAAATCGTACAAAAATTAATAACTAACTTGTCATGTAAGCAAATAACTCCTCATACTTCCTCCATGTAAGTCCAAGTGGAGTTCAATTTGCTCACTTGGAGTTTTATTATTGATTGATGATATCATGTCATCAATAGTGACATGGTTTCACCGTTGCATTCAATATTTACGTCTCTAATAATACTTCTTATTTTTAAAGAGAATTTGTTTTTTTTGAAATAAAGAGGATCTTTGATAAAAGTTTGAAATAAATAGTAAAATATTTTAGATAATTCTAATTGATTTTCTGTTCAAGTAGAAACATTAATTTTCATTTATTAAAAATATAATAGTGAGTGACTTAAGCTCTTCAAATATAAAAATAAAAATAAGACTCACTATTTTAACTAGTCTAAAATAAAAAATTGAATGAGAACAGAGAGAATATTAGAGGTACTCTAAATCCACTAAGTCATCGTTACATTAAATATTTTCTCCTATTTACAACCCTACACAAATTTGTAGTTTGGTGTTCATGTTTAAAATATTTATAATTTTAATTATCTAGAATTCTTCATTATTTATTTCTTATAATTCTTGTTTCTCTCTCACTCCTCTAATCTCATCCCTTTCCCCTCCCTACCACAGCTCATTTCCCTTTTTTTTGTTCTCTTTTTATTATTGAATTAGGTGAATAGATGATGAAATTAAATTAAAATTATTGGAATTAAGTGATTTATTATGAACTTAAACTAAAATTTACTAATAATTTGGTGAATTTTTTATTATTTGAGGTAATTTTATAGAAATTCAATTTATTCTTATTGAATTATTGAATCAGATATCCAATCATTAACAAATTCGAATTTGAATTATGATTTTAATATCTGTCGAATTACCGGATTGAATTCAGGCTCAATCTTTTAAATGGATTCTGATTTGAATTGACTGAGATGCGGTTTGGATCCGATACGTTGATAAGGCTAATTACAATAGGTCAAATTAATTATTTTTTTTATTGAAAGAAATGATCAAAATTTTATTAGTATGAGATATCAACAAAGCCTAGCAAAGTCTACCAGACCCTGTCCCATACAATAGAATTATTAGCATAGAAATAGCCTATTTTGCTAACAAAAATGATAAACCAATTCAAATAGAAACCAAAAAATTACAACTCAAATGCACATCAGCTCTTCGATGAATATTGAATAATTGAATCCCACTAAAAAATTTAATAGATAAGGTATTAAAAAATTAGATTAGAAACGTGACTAATATTATTAATAATGCACTAACTCATAACTAATTTTTCTGATGAAATTGTGTGAAATTAATATTTATAATGTTATATAATACGTAACCAATACATTATAACAAAAGTGAAGGAAGTAAAATTTCGTACGATTGTCTCAAATTAACCGTCGCATAACAATTACAAATCAAATTTTAAATTTAATGATCTAAACTTACCATATACTAATAAAATTAGTTTTTATAGGTTCTATACAATTAAAGTGTGTTATTAATAGTAATTTATTGACTGAGCCCCGTTTAATATAATTTTCAACACCATATTATTTTGATTGGATCTTATTGGTCCCTCGTGACAAAATCATGGTTCTTGTCCCTACACGTGTTACTTTGAACCTAAAATGATTGATTAACACTTTTGATTTGCATTAAAATAATATTCGATGAAAATAATTCAGTCAAATGATAGAATCTGAGTATGACACCCATTTCATAATCCTATTTAACACGTGTTTCTAGAAAAAGCACCGTGGCAGGTTTTAGTTTTGCTGCTTTGGGAGTGACACGTGGAGTGATGATAGTGGACATTCCGGATTTTTGGGTGGCCATTTGAAGAAACTACACAAGATTATGGCTGCCTTTCTGGGACCGACCATAACATGTGGCAGCTCTGTGTCCACTTCAATGTGAATCATGCATATGTTATTAATGTTGGTGTGATATTAATATTGTAATAAATATTTTTTTTTCTTGTTATTGTTATTGGTATTTTTCAATGACGGGAAAAATTATGGGAGCCAAAAAAAAAAAAATTTTGGTATTGTACGGTTAGTTATATATTTTTGTGGTACCGTTAGATTTTAAAATGAGAAGTTACAATTGTTTAAGGAAAGATTATAATCAATCACATGTATACATATTTGATCATAGAATTTTGGTATCGATTCCAACCCAGCATGATTGACCATACCTTTTAAAATTTATAACTTAACTTTAAAAAATTATAATTTTAATGTTTTGAACAATAATTATGCTTTTCAAGATTATCGAATTACTAGTCATGATCTCGTGATTGAAACATATAATTTAAGCGTCCTAAAAATCCATCTTCCTAATATAAAAAAATATTAATATGTGTACATTATTATATATAAACTATAAAAAATTGTATTGAGTTACAAAAAAATCAAAAATGAAATGATTCAATCTTAGAGAAAAATGGGGGATGTGATAAAAATGAGCAAAAAATACAGTATTGATGATATGGTGTTACTAATCAATGATAGAATAACAAGTGAATTTAGTGGGTATTATTATTTTATTTACTACCAATAATTACCCAAGGGTGGATCAAGATAATTTGAGCCCTAAAGCAAAAATATTAAATGAGGCTCTTTTTTATTTTTAATATTAATTTTTAAAAAATTAATTTATTTTTAATTTATTATGTGAAAGACAGAAAGAAGAAGGAAAAGTTAGTGTTGTCGAAAAAAATATTTTAACTTTTGTTTTTATTTTTTACTAGAAAGAAAATTTAATTTCAACCTTCTTTTTATGTTTTTTATGTATTTTTATAGAGAGAGAGGGAGAGAGAGAGGATATGAGTAAATATGAGTTAATTTTGAGTATTTTTTATTTTTTCAACTTATGATTTTTAACTTTCTAATGTTATGAATTGAATCACAGACCCAAATTATTACAATAAAAATTTTAATTGTAATTAATTTTTAGGGGCCTTTTTTTAGGGTATAAAATTTAATGGATTTAAATTTTTTCTGGATTAGTAATATACTTAAAATAATAGGGTTTTCTAAAAATTTGGGTCCTAAAGCCCAAACTTTTTTTTTTTTTAATACTGTTGAGCAGCCTCCGTAACTATCTCAGTCATAACACGTGACAATGATGATATCGTGTTATTATTATATTCTATATTTACGTGTATCGCAGACTACAGATTTATAATGTGTGGACGTATTCTGTTATATGTATTAAATATTAGGTAAGTGAGTAACTTATATTTTAATTGTTCACTTTAAAAAAAAAAAAACACCCCTCTCACGAGTAAAGAAAATCTTCTACATCGACGAGTGCATGTAGCAAATGGAAAGGCGGCCCAGTAAAAACCAGTCAGAGCAGGTTCGGAAAAACATCCGACTAGGTTCGTAGAACAAGTCAATTTGACGGTGTAATAGTCCACATAAACCGCCGTGTTTTCCAGTCAAACTTCGACGACTGGTATCGTGGCTCCATTGACGTCATTTTCTCAATTATTGTTTTTTTGGGCTCAAGCCAGTTCAAAAAAAAACCATTCATTATGTTCATAAAAGTATGAAATGACCATCCATACGTATATAGAGTCCCACCCATACGTATTTGGCCAGGCTTGAAGTGTTTCCCTGGAACCTTCGATAGGATTACCACCTAGTTATGATTTGTAATTATTAACGAGTATTTGGTCTAAAAAGTGGTTAGATTGCTACAAATTTGGGCCAGAAAGTATGTGGATATTTGAGAAATGATAATTAATATCACAAATAAAATTCCTAGATAGATCGAGTTGAAAATTAAATAAAAAACAAAAATAAAGCAAATGTGACATATAAGACTAATTTTGAGATGTTTTATCTTTTATAAAATATAAAATAAAATAGATTTTAATAAGTTTAGCTGACGGTCTTAAATAGATTCATCCAACAGTCACTAATATTCCTTTCAAAATCATTCATATTGAACCTTGCCTTTATAAGACACAA